CTGGAAAGCCGGATTTATAGACCGTAAATATACGGCCATTATTCCGGTACTAGTACTCGGGATACCTATCCTTATAGATAATTATTATAGCTATAAATACCTTAGGGAACCTCTTCTGGTATATAAGTAGGGCTATAGGTATACTATAGGCCATATATAGGGCTTTCGGATTATTATTAAGGCTATATAGCCCATAAGATATCTGGCCAGTAACTATAGCTATAAGTTCGCCTATAGGATCCTATAATAGGTCTGGAAGCTCGGTACAAATAACCTTATTAACCAAATCAGGAGTTAAGAAGACAGTATCCCTCCTAAGAAATAAGAGCAGGTATATATATAGGAGACCATATTTCTAGTATTTAATTATATATATATAGCCTATATACTATCCGAAAAGGTAGTTCTTAAGGTCTATAAGAAGCTCTTTTACTTTTAGGATAAAGATCCAGTAAAGGAGATCCGGATAATTAATTACTTACTACCCGTTTAAAAGGTAATCTATAATCTCAGGCCAGTACAAGTTAGCTATAAATATAATAAAGAAGCTTGGCTTATTAAAGTATTATATAATAGCTATTGAGTCTTGAAAGAGTTACTATATAAAGCGATTACTGCCTATAAAACTTAATAGGAGGATAAAGTAATAGCTAATATTACCTATACGGATATCCTTATAGATTAGAGTATTTATAAGTCCTATATAAATATCTATACGGATATTCTACTAGTATAAGTAGAGCTAGTTAAGTAAGGTTATCTTATAGGCAATATATATATTAATAATATATTACTAGAAAAGGCGGCTAATATAAAAAAGTAGAAAGAAGGCTAGACGGATATAGAGGTAGTACCGGTAAAAGGCCTGCTACTCAAGCCGTATTTGCTAGCGGGTCCCGGTATAGTCCTATAACTATAACTCGTAGTACTAGCCCGGGTTGCTATATAGGAAGAGTAAGATATAGTAGAGCGGTATATATACTATATATATAATATTAATCATATATAGCTGCGGATACTTGCGGCCTGCCTTATAGACTATTAGTACCAGATTATAGCAGCTTATATCCGTATACTTGTCCGAAATCAGGATAGTAACCTCATTACTTATAGGAAGGTTCTTATAATAATAATCCGTATCTGATTCGAGAATTAAATATATTTATAGGTTAAGTAAGATCCGGAAATCGGTTTACTAGCTTATAAGATACTTATAGGCCGTCTTATAAACTATAATAAATAGGTTATAGTCTATAAGTATATTTATAAGCTATAAAAGAACTATATAATCTAAGCAAGGAAAGTTAGTAGCCTATATATTAGTTATAAAGAGCGGATTATAGAAGAAGAGCTATATAAAGGAGAGTTCGGTATATATAGCAGACTATAGTAGGCCTTGGAAATAGAAGAGCTTACTATAGATCTGAAAGTACTAGATCCTATAAGAGAAGTTAATCCGGGTATTCTTTTTATAGCTAATTAATATAAAGGTAAAAGTATAATTATATATCCGGATATTTGTCCGGAAGGCCTAATAGAGCGGGTTATTACCTATAAAGAGATAAGAGAGATATAGAGAAGGCTTACGGATTAGAGGAAATATTATATTATCCTTCTTATAATAGGCCTTAAAGCAATTATTCATATAGCCAAAATAGAGGGCTCTATAAGCTATATAGTAACCTATAAGTAGACCGGTTATATATACGAGAGCTGGCCGGAAGCGGGAGAGAAAGGCAGGAGGCCATATAGGAGGTAGGTCGGCTAGAGGGTCCTCTATAATATAAACGGAGGCCGTAATAGACGGTTAATGGATCCGTTACTGGTACTATAGGGCTGGCTCGTCTATAGAGATATCCGTAACCGACCGTTATTATTACCGGGAGATAGAGAGAATATTCGGATCGAGTTCTTATAAGGCAGAGTATTACTAGATATAATTAGTAGTATTTCGGGCCTATTAACTAGTTAATTAAGCCAGAAAAGGGAGAGGATATAAACTTGATAGTAAGAGCAAGTCTTATATAGCTTAGCCCATTCTGTAATAAAGTCAGAAATAGGCCGGTTCTATTTACAGGAAGTATAAAAGCAGAAAGGGTCTATAGTAATAAAGAGAAGAAGAAGAGAAAAGTAATATAAGGTTAGGATTTTTTTTTAGTACTTTTTACAGGGCCCCTAGCTTAAGATTTTCCCCCGAGCCTTAAAAAATCGTAATAAAAGCCCCTTGTATTCCAGAACTACTAAAATACAGAGTAAGGTATTTAAGCTGCTTTTTTTTAATCCCTAGCTAAGCCCTAAGGATTTGGATATAATCGTATTCTAATATGTGATTCCCTAGAAGGGGGCAATTCTGGTATTCCTTATATGACCCGTTTTTTTAAGGAGCCCTATAAGCCAATTATTTAGGGTAGCCTGAATATAGGACAATATAGAAGAGGATATAAGAAACGAGGTTATATAATAAAATTATATAACTTCCGGGAAATTATACTAATAATATAAAATAAGCCTCTTTTTGTTTTCTTTTAATTCTTTTTTTCTTGTTTTTTTATTAAAGGTAATAAGTTTTATCTTATTAAAGTTTTTTTTTAATTTTTTTTAAATTTAAGGTTTATTACTTATAATATAATAATAATTCTAGAGATCTTAATTTTATTAAAGGCTAAAAGAAAAAAAGTAATCTAAATTAAAAAGATATTATTTATAAAGTTACTAGTATTTAAACTCGAGGAATATTATAAGTTTAAAATATAGCTAAGTTATTTATATAAAATATATTAACCTAATTAGTAAATAACTTAATTAAATATAGTTTATATCTATTTTTAAATATATAATTTAAATGTTTTTACTAGATTAGAAGACTTATAAAGTTTTATAAGAATATATTAATATATATAATAGCTAAATTATAATATTAAACCTCGGATTTTAGATACTTTTAATAAAATATAAAACCGAAGAAAAGTTTTTAATTTAGAATAAAAAAAATCATTATTTTAAGAATTCGAAGAATAATATATTTAATATTATATTTTTATAATTAATTTTTTAATATTTCAAGTTAATAATTGAGATTAATAAAATATAATAGAAAGAATATTAGATATTTATTATCTGTTTCGTTTTTTTCGAGTTTTATTTAACTAATATTATTATTTATAGTTTTATTATTACTTTTATTTAATCTTATTCTAAAATACAAATTTTTTTCAGATATTATAATTTTTTATATATATTTAGATAATAAATTAAATTATTTTTTTCTTGAATTTATTAATTTTATAATTTATAAGAATTATTTTAATAGATTTAAATTCCTTAATTATTAAGCTAATATTCGAGTCTTTTTTAAAAAGTAAATATATTATACGGATTTATATTTTAGGAACTATATCTTATTATATAAAAATAGATAAGAAATTATATTTATTAACTATATATATAATATACTAAAATTCTATAGGCTAGGCCTTTTAATATATATTATTAATATAGTTATTTTTTCGGGCTTATATAATTTAATAATTTTTTTAAAATCAATAATTTAAGTACTTGCTTTATTAACAATTTATATATAAAAGTAAATACTTAAATTACTATTTTATAAAGTATATATTACTATATATTAAAAATAAGTATAATATATATATTTTAATATTATTATTAACTTCCCTAAAATTACTAATTTTTAAGAATATTTTAATTAATTAATAATAACATTTCTATTTATATACTTGATAATTGTTTTAGTACTATCAAGGTCTAATCTAATTATATAACCAAAACCATTGTTATAAAATGACAAATAAGGTGCTTTTAGTAGCTCAGAAAAGCCCATCTCGCGGGCCCACGCTTGCACCCACGCTTCACTATATTCTAGAACCCACACCTCACTATCATTACCTTATATAATCCCCCCCTCTTGGATAAATTCGTCCTTATGCAAATAAAATAAGAGCTCATTAACTACATGCTAATTAGCTACATGCCACCGATCATCTATTACATCAACCTCCCGCGTAATGCGCTGTTCAGCCCACTTCTTAATCAGTTTTTTATATTATTCCTTGAGGCCTGTAAAACCGTACTCGGGCAAGAAGGGGGGTAAATCAGAGTATCCAAAGGGCTTGCCGCAGTCGAATGGTGCAGTCTCGTTAGGCTTCCTACATTGGCAAGGAAGCTTCCCAGTAATATGCTTTGCAATGAACACATCAGTCTCCCGAACCCGGCAATTCAAGTAGGCATTATTGTCCAATTCGTCCTTCTTATATAGCGTCTCACGGCATAGGCTACTTGCCGGGCCCCAGCTCCCTTGGAAATAACACTGCACTTTTGCACATGCTTCCTCCCGTCTTTGTCTGCCTTGTTGCAAGCCTCCTCAAGGGTGGCCTCCTCCCGTTCTTTCTTACAGCTTGCAATAAGGTGTGCCTTGATTATCTTTGGCTCAGTAGTTAACTAGAAAGCTTTCTATAAACGATAAAAGCTAGGAGTGAGAGCATATTAGTCATCGCCGTTGCCAAGGATAAAGTGATCTTCTAAACACCTATCTAGGTAAGCTGCGTGGGCTTGTCAATCGGCTATAGCAGGGGCCTTTTGGAAGGGCTTAGGTCGGGAGAGGGTAACTAGTGTCTAAACAGGTTGATGTCCAGTAGCTATAAAATTAGCTTATAGCCCTATATAAATTTATAGCCAAGTAACATACCTGTTTCTGCTTAGTATCGTGCCAAGGTCTCATGAACATGCTTTACTGTATCCTGGCCCAATAACACTGCTTTGGTAAAAGCACTAAAAATAATCCTCGACTAGAAGGTTTTGTGGCAAATAGACTAATATGCTTGTAAGAAGTTTAGCTTAGTATATACTACATTGCTGAATTGGATCTTCTTATAGATGCTCTCTTAGTGCCAGTATTTAAGTGGCTAAAAAATGCCAATATCTAGAGGCTAGAGGAGGTGAGTACTGTGCAGCAGAAGCTAAAAAGGGACAATTTTGTAAGCCTAACAGTAATACAAGAAGTTGTCAGAGGTGTGAGAGGCATGCCTGTCAAAAACAAGCATTTGCCACTTCCCTTTTATCTTTTTATATGTTTGATTATAGAAGTGTTTAATGTATTTCATGCTTAGCTCTTTGTTTGTATAGCCAGATGCACTTGTTGCTAGAATTATCTTGTTATCCAGGTCGTTTTTAAAGTGATCTTCCAATAAAACATCTCCTTTAAAGATCAAGAAGGGTGTAATAGCTATACTATCGCCACACACAGTCTCAATCGCAGTGAGGGACTCTCGATTGTCTAGATCTGCCAAATACACAGCTTTGGTTTACAGATGTATAATAACAATCTTCCCATTCAAAACCCCAATTCAGAAGCCCGTTTCGTCCATATTATACACGTCCTCAAAGGCTATGCTATACTTTTCCAACGCGCCGCAGTATTCCTTAAAGTGCTCTTCCAGGTCTTCCTTCCAGTGTGCAGCCTTCCTCTCTTGTACCAACGTCTTTGCCTGCAGAGTTTTAAACCACTTTTTGTTGCATTTAAACCATCGTTGAGTCTGAGGACGCGTTACTTGGTAGGTCGAACTATTCTCTGTAAGGATCTTATTAGCCGCTGCTCTAATAGCTGACATGTCAGCCCAATAGCCCAAATAGACCAGAAAATCAATAAATTACTTTAATGCCTCCTCCTAATATAGGAGGGAAACTGCGACAAGACAAAAACCCACATAAAGTACACCAGAGCGCAAAACGTGACTTGATAGTAAAATAACAAATCAAAAACGTAAATAGTAAAGCATAAATAGTATATAGTATATAAAAGCTTAATTAATTAAATACTTATAAAGGATTATTCTCTAAATCTATAGAAAAACCAGCTTTCTTATATGATTTCCGCAAGTTACATATAAAAGGCTATAGCCTTTACTATATAACCTAAACCTCAAAACTGCCAAAATAATATGATTTTTAACGAGTATAGCCTACTATACTATATCCGACCTCCCATTTATTCGTACTTATTCTCTAAGTACTAAAAATAATAGAAAAATCCTACTTAGAATCCGAAATAATGAAATATTCAGGATTCTTCTCTATTAGTTAATCTAATTTCTTTTCTATATACCTAAAATAAGATTTATTACCCTTAAATAGTCTTATTTCGTACTTCCGAACTTGCTTAAAGGTAATCCGAATCCGCTTAGCTATATTCTTATACTAAATCCAATATAATTCTTTATATTAATTAGTATTTGCTTTTAACTATTACTCAATTTTCGCCTTTATTACTAGATATTAAGAAAGCTTATTATAGCAAATTATATTATATATTATACTAATATATTTCAAACAGATAGCTTTTTCGAATTTTATATTTTTTACTATATCCTTAAATTAACTTTTAGTAAAAAGGGAAAGCTCTAGATAAGAGGCTTTAATAACCTTATAGAAAACTCCATTTTTATATATTCTATCCTTAATAGTAAGTAGACTTATTAGAATTATAGTAAAAGGTCTATTAAGTAGCAAATTATTATTAAGCTATTTTTTAACTTATATATTATCTGAGAATTAATACTTTCTTATAATTTCAGACTTATAGATTACCTAGCTAAAAGCATTTATTTATCTAGTTAAATAAACTATATTTGAAGTCTTTTTTTCTACTACTTTTAATAAATATTTACCTAATTCCTTAACTACTTCTAGCTCAAATTTATTAGAAATAAAAAAATAATTAATATCTTTAAAGAACTTCTTACTAAAAATAGTAGCCTTCTTATAGTCTATAAGAAAAATATAGCTAATATTCCGATGCTTTTTACTAAAGTAGAATTTGCTATTTAAAGCTTTAGTAATAGCTAGATCTTTAGTATTATCTTTATATTAATTATAATTAATATTTCTAGAAATAAAGTATTAAGCTAGCTAAAAGTAAATAACTAAATAAATAAGATATTTATTTAATATCTTATAAAATCCGAGCTATATTAATAAATCTGCTATTAAAAGTTAAGAAGTTAAAGTAAAATAGCTATTACTAAGATCTTTATATATTAATATATTATTTTTTCGAAAATAGAACTATAATATTTCTATTTTCTCTATTAAAAATTCTCGAATACTAAGCTTTTTAATCTATTTCAGGTAATTATTCTTATAAATATAACTATTTATATCTAGATTAGTAATATTAGACTTAGAAATAGAAACTATAGTATTAATTTAGAACTATAGATTAGAGCGAAATTAATTAGAACTATAGTACTTATATTATATTATTTAATTTCCTATATCTTAAAAAAGAAATTCTATATTTTCTTATTTATTTAAATAATAGAAATATACTTCTTGCCTTTAATAACTTTATAGATCTTAGTAACTAGCTTTAGAATATTCTTAATATCTTATATATTAATAGAAAGAATATTAGTAACCTATTAAATATATCTTATATAAAAAGCTTTAAGAAATCTATTATTAATTCTATAGTATCCTTATTTATAAATAGGTTTCAAAATATTACTATATATTTTCTTAAAAATATACTTATTTTACTAAGTAAATATTAGCTTCTATTTAGCTAGTATCTTATAAATATACTAAATACTTTCTTTAAATTCTCTGGATTTAATATCCTTAATTTTCTATTTCTTAATTCTAAATATAGTTAAAAGAATCTTTCTAGATAATATTTTTTCTTTTAAAATAGAAAGTTCTTTCTTACTTTTCTTAGTATTTTCTTCTATTTTACTAGCTTTATATTTAGTCTAATACTCAGATCTCTATTATCTATTAGAAGTTTTAAGCTTAGCTTATTCTTTATTTTTACTAGGTTCTTCTTATCTAGTTATATTAGTTCTACTAGCTTTACCAGGAATTTTCTTACTAGTAGTTTTCTTACTAGGCTTAATTTAGCTTTATTTTTCTTAGCTAGATCTGGTTAAATTAAAGCTAAAATTATAATAGAAGCCTATTTTTTAGGCTTATTTCGGAAAACAGAAAAAGACTTATTACTATAAACTTCTTTAATTAGAATTCCGGAAGTATTAAAAATATATTATCTAGCCTTAAAATTATTAGCTAATAATAGCTTAAACTTTAATTCTCTAGATTCCGAAATAGTTTTAGTATATTTAAATATTTTAGTAATATCTAATTTAGTAAATATACTAGTATTCTAATATTTCTTGTTTTTAATATATTCTAAAATAGCTTTATTAATTAACTAAATAGCTTTATATATTAAAGCTTTTATTTTAAAAAAAAGTATAACTTCTTATAAATGTTTTTACTAAGATTATTATAAATATTATTAATATATTAGCTAAAAGCTTTATTATATAGTATAATTCTATTCTAACTTTTAATATTAAAACCATTTATTATAGTTTTAATCTTATTAAGCTTTTCTTATCTATTTTTAGAAATACCTTTAATAATATTCTTAAATTCCCTATTATTAGCTTAGTAGTTCTTTAACTTCTTCTTAGTTAATTCTAATCTAGTTCCGTCTCTAATAAAGGTTTTTTATTTTAAAAGTTTATTATATATATTATTTAGCTTATCTAGAATATTTATATTAAATTTAGTAATTATAACTATCTTTTCTAGTATTAGTAGGCTTTCTATAACTATCTAAACTTCTTTAATACTCTAAACTTTAATATTATTAATCTATAAGCTTTTAATAATACTATAGCTTATAAGAACTAGCTATTATATTTTACTAATTTAAGAAATCTATTCTTCGGCTATTTTATTATTCTTAAAAGTATTATAAACATATTATTAGTATAATAGTTATAAATTATAGAATTAAAAGTTCTTAAGATTATAAAGGTTTCTTTTAAATACTTTCTAAAATAAAAAGTAAATTAAAATAGACTTGAATTATATAAAGGCATTATATATATTTATATTTTTTCTTTCTTTTTAATAAAAAAATAAAGCTAAAATAGTAGTATATATAATAGAGAAAATAAATATAATAATTAGATAAGTTTAAGATAATATAGTTATAAATTAGAAATAATTATAAAAAATAAAATATAAAGTTAGGCTTTTATTATAGAAAGAAATATAAATATATATATCTAAAAAAATATAATTAAGGAAATAATTAAAGCAGGTTAAACTAAATAGTAATAATAGAAAAATAAAAAAATAATATAATAGAAATATAGATATAGTAATAATATCTAAAGTATTAAAATATAAAAAGAAATAACGAAAATTTATAATATAGATATATTCCGACTCTTTATTTATTTAGAAACGTTTCTATTAACTTAAAGAATAATATAAAAGAAAAGAAATAATATAGGAAATATATAAAAAATAAAGTATATAAAGATATTAAAGATATTAGAAAAATATAAAACAAGTATTAATAGAAAGGAAATTAGAATAATAGAATTAAGAAATAATTTAGAATAAGATATTACTTTTTCTGAAACTAATTTATATTTATTTAGTATTTATTAAAATTAGCTTTATATAATATAAAACTATTTAGCTAGTTAGAACTTTAAAATAATATCTATATCTATAAAAATAATATTAAATACTTCAAAAATCATAAAAAGAAGAATTATAAAATAATATAAATAAAGTTTATAATACTATTATTAAATTTGAAATAGTTAATATTAAAGTTAATATAGAATATAAAAAAATTAGATATTCTAAATTAGTATTAAAAATATAATATTAAAGGTATTTTCTTAACTATTTAGATAATATTTAATAGTAAGATATAGATTAATAATAAGAATTAGCGAATTATAATAGCTTTTTAAAAGAATAACTAGTTTCTAGTAATAAAATAGTATTATAATCGGAAAATAAATTCTATACTAAAGAAATTCTCTATAGAAATAGAAATATATAATATACTAATCAAGTTTTAATATAAGTTTTAAAAGTAATTATAGTTATATTAAAGAAGAAATAGGTTTTCTAGTATATAATAGACTTTAAATAAATAGATCTAGTTTATCTAATATCTAAAAGATTTCCAGAATTATATATTAATAAATACTTTCGGAAATAACTATTAAATTTAATAAGATTTCCTTCTTCTTTTATAAAGCTTCTAGTTTAGCTATTTCGTCTATATATGACTTCTAATTAAGAAGTTTATTTAAATATTATAAGGAAACCTGTAATAGTAATTCAAGTTAAAATCGAAATCTATAGATATTATAGTTAAGCTTTAGACTAGTATAAGTTATAAGAATAGCTAGTTAAAAAAGGCAAATAGAACTTCTAAAAAGTTTCTATTTTAGTAAAATAT